TCTTAAGACTGGGGGGGAGGGGTATCCAACCTTGGCAACGTTCAGATTTGTGGACTTCAGTGCCCAGAATGCCCCAGCCAGGGTGCTGGCTGGGGCATTCTGGGAGTTGAAGTCCACCCGTCTTAAAAGGGCCCAAGGTTGAGAATCACTTCTCTTAAGACCTAACATGACCCTCTGCCATTCTTCAGCCATTGCAGAACTCTTTAGTCCCATGTCTGGCCAATGGCCAGGGACGATAGGTTTGGGAGTCCAAGCTTTTGGAGATCACAAGTTCCCCAGCCTTAGCCTTACGTCAGATTTTAAAGATGGCCACAGACTTAGCTTAGGACCAGGGGTGGGATTCAAAAATCCCAGCAACCGGTTCGCTGGGTGGCTGTGGCCATGGTGGATGTGGCCTACTGGAATGTCCTGTTTCCGGCTTCCGGTGGGTCTCCAGAGCCTGGGGGTGGCCGTTTTCACCCTCCCAAAGGTTCAGAGGCCACCCCTGGGCCCCTGGGAAGGCAAAAATGGCCTCCCCAGGCTCTGAGGCCCACCAGAAGCCAGAAACAGGCCCATTTCTGGGCCATTTTTCGCCCTCCCAAGGATCTGAAGGCTTCCCTTGGGCCTCTAGGAGGGTGAAAACGGTCTTCCCGGGCTCTGGAGGCCTTCTAGAAGCCGGAAACAGGCCCATTTTCCTTAACTTTAACAGCCTGTACCGGTCTGAACCGGCAGAATCCATCCCCTGCTTAAGACCCACCAACCCTCCTTCCCAGAGGAGGCAAACCCTAAAATTATCCTCTGCCAACGCTGAGTGTTCACGCTTCCAAATCTGAACCCAGCTTACGGGGTTAACCCTATCAGCTTTGGGCCCCTCATGCCCGTTCTTGCAAATTTAAGAAAAAACTTAAAATTTTCGAATCAGAGGAGCAGCATTCTTGTCCAACTGGATAGCGGTTGCTGGTGAACCCCCGAGTCTTCTCCGCGGCTATTTTAAGCTGAATTTGCTATTTATCCCTCCGCAGTGAGATCATCAGCATTCTACAGGAATGAATTGTTCAGGCTCCCCTTGTAAAATAAATGTCATCGGAGGGTGCTATTTCCATTTAAATGAATTACTATTACTATTGCCGGCTGTTGGGAGAAAATATGACTTCATTGTGAATGAACAGCAGTGAAAACATCAAGTTTTGGAGCATGGAATTGAAATTGAAGGACCAAAATACTGGAAACGGAGATTTGGAAGAAAAGTAAAGAGAGATTACCGTTCTTAACCACCCCGAGAGAAAACTCAAAAGTGCATTTTAATGGGGAATGTGGGAATAAACTCATTATTAACTATCCAGTGTTGCTTGGGTAAACCCACATTGCCGGGGGAGGTTTGAGAATTTGGTGTGACAATATAAAATCCATCGAGCCACAGAAAAGCCAAAAGGATTTCAAACCCACCAACCAACATTCTGGTTTAACGGCGTCTGAAACAGGTTATTTCCTGCAAGGCCAGAAGGAGTCCAATAATTGTCTTTGGATATGCAAGCATGCAGCTAGTAGTTTCAGCAAGATGCAATTACTTGAAGAATTCCAGCGTGTAATAAATACCACAGGAAGACATAAATGCTAAGATGGGTTATGTATTTAAGATACTAGATTATAGTGTTTCACAAGCTTAGCAATTTTTAAGCTTTGTGGACTTCAACTCCCAGAATCCCCCAGCCTGCAATCCCAGGCTGGCTGGGGAATTGTGGGAGTGGAAGTCCACAAAGTTTCAAGTCACCAAGGTTGAGAAGGACTAGTCTCTCCCATTATCTGTCTTTTCTTCCACCTCACAGGACACAAGAATTTTATTCGTGGCTTTGAAGAGCAGTTGATATCCACGAAACCAGTTTCCCCCGATCTTGGCTGCATTAAGATGACTGGAAATGGCAGAAGATGGTCAGGAAATGGAGAAAGCACATTCAAGGGCAACATAGAGTTAACCAGAAAGAATTTGAAGGCAGGAAACCTGTGGGCTGTTGTTTTTTACATTGAATTTTCAATGCACACCTAAAGTGAGAAACAGTCAACTCTTCCATTGCACCTCTGCAGCTGTGGTTCCAATTTACTTAAATTTCTCCATAGAAATCCTCTGATGTGGGGAAACACTTGGTGTTAGCAAAACTCATTGTGAAAAAGACTTTCTGAAGTCCCTCGTGGAAAACCCACTGGGGGCAATGAAATTTGTGTTTCACCTTTCACTCTTTGAAAGTTGAGTGGGTGTCCTGGAACCATCGTGGGTAAAGTTGAACCTGCTTGCGGGTCTACCATCACTAGTGAGGGGTTGGGGAAAGGGCTTCTGGAGATACCGTGTTTCTCCAAAAATAAGACCCTGTCTTATATTTATATATTTTTTGCCACCAAAAAAGGCACCATGTCTTATTTTGGGGGAATGTCATCCACTGACTAACCTCACGTCGCCCCCAGCCTCCTTTTCGCTGTCAGATGCCTTCAGGAACTTTTGCTGCAGCCAGCAAGGCTTTCGGGGGTGTAGTAGTTAGAGTCCAGTACTGCAAACTAGTTCTGCTGACTGCCGGCTGCCTGCAATTTGGCAGATCGAATCCCACCAGGCTCAAGGTGGACTCAGCCTTCCGTCCTTCCGAGGTGGGTAAAATGAGGACCCAGATTGTTGGGGGGCAAGAGGCTGACTCTGTAAACTGCTTGGAGAGGAGCTGTAAAGCACTATAAAGTGGTATATAAGTCTAAGTGCTATTGTTATTTCCTGAAGGCCTCTGCAGCCAATAACAGAGCTCTGGATCGATCCAGAGCTTTGTTATCAGCTACAGAGGCCTTCAGGAAAGGCTGGCCAGCCTTGCGGGCAGCAGAAGAAATGGGCCGGCAAGGCAGGTGTTGGGGTGTGCGAGGCCTGGCTACAACTATCCAAAGGTAAGTAGTAGGGCAGCTCCAACACCCTCCCATCCCTACCCTAGCTTAATTTTTACTCCGTGCACTCCGGAATGGGTGGGATTTTAATTAGGGCTTATTTTGGGGATAGGGCTTATATTGGGTGCAAGTGTAAAAATCAAGGTAAGACTTACTTTCAGGGTAGATCGTATTTTTGTTTTCTTTTCAAATCTTAAAATAAAAGAGTTCTCACCAAACCGGCACACTTTCTCTTTCTTCTTCCGTTTTGGAGCTGTCCCAACTTCAGCAGCTTTAAAATGGCTGCCTCTTTGCCGCTGGCAAGAAGAGCTTCTCCTGGATCTACCAGGGACTTTGCGGTGTCCCTGGGATCCGCAGGGTGTGCTCCTCACTTTCGCCGTCTCTTCGGGAAAGTTTAGATCCGCTTGGACCGTCCAGAGGCAAAGATATCGGCTGCGATCTCAGACCTCCGAGATCGCATGCCGTATTGTCGCGACGCCAGCTCCGCCCTCCATTTTTGTTTTCTTGAAGACTTTTCTTGACCCAACTAGAGAATATCATCCATGCTAGAAGGAAATGGAGTTTGGAGCGGAGGAGAACTGTGGAGATCTTTACTGCTCTCTGAGCTTGGTTATTTTTTTGAAGACCTTTCATCACCCAACTAGGGAACATCATCAGTGCTATGGCCTACACTGGGTAATGAAATGACTGCAAGAAAACCACCAAGCTCAGAGAGCACCAAGACCCCCTTGACTTTAACCCAAGAATATCAGGGCGGAAATACAAACCAGGCTTTTTTTAAAGCTCGCTGGAAAGCTTAAGATTCTTTACGTTCTGTTTAAAAAGAGCACTTAGAATTGTAGGTAGTCCTTGACTAATGACCAGGATTTCCATTGCAAAGCCAAAAACAGGCCAGAAACCAGCAAGAAGTCATCATTAAATTGCTGCCACGGGATCTTGGAATGTTGCAATACGTGAAGTTACCTTTGCAGGGGAAAAAGTCCCTTGTAAATGAATTCGCTAGGCGGCCGGTCGTTAAGCGAGGAGCACCTGTAAAAAAACATTCCATCCTGGTCCATCCTACTCCCTCCCCCTCTACTAGAAAGGATGTTTTGGAGTTTCTGGGGAGAAAAAATATTTTGCGATTCCTTACTTCCCGCGTAGCACAATGCACTTTTTCACTTCCTGAAAGAATTCTTCCATTCCTGTCGGTCAAAGCAAGTGATTCTCGTCCCAGCCCAGGGATCCATGGACTAAAAGTGCTCTAAAAGGTCACCGGGGCAGGAATCCAGCAGATTTAAAAACCAAAAACCAAATTAGGAAGAAGGGGAGAAAGGGGAAACTTTATTTCCAAATCTCTTTTCGGAAGTTGGGTTGAAATCTTTAAAGCGGTGCAGCGATGGTGTCGGAGAAACAGCACCCTCTGCTGTCCAACAAGATTATTATTATTATTTTCCTCTTCCATTCAATGTCTATATAGAGATTATCCGTCCTTCAAGTCATTTGTTTGTCCCAAAAGTGCTTTTTTATTTTTTTTTTCAAGAGGCAACTGGGCTTCCTGGTTTTTTCTTTTCTTTTGAAGACGTTTCGCTTCTCATCCAAGAAGCCTCTTCAGCTCTGACTTGGATGG